ATGAACTTTAGCTTCATGATATTCAATATCAGGAGCTCTACCAACTCTATGGCTACTTTCACTCCAATTCTACATTGGCTGCTGATTGCTCTAGAATTGAGCGCAAAATACTAACCCTAATTTGATATCACTCACTCTATATTCCATGGCCAAAGATCATTTTAATTTTGCTGGCAAATGAATGTCAATACCTGCAACCCTGGATTAGTAAACTTCGTCTGAGATTGACTGAAAGTTTTATGTTATTATATTAATTTGTGTAATTCGTAACACATTTTTTGCTGATATGATTGTTCATCGATTGAGAAGTTAGTTAAATCTTAGGGCCAACAACCGTAGACTTTTGACATGAAAAATCATACCTGTATTGAACGAATTCGCGCATCACAGTTGGTACAGTTGTATGGGCTTCTTGTTTAACTCTAAAGAATAAGTTTTATTAATCATCTCATTATTTTCACGATAATTTGAAAGTTTAATTGTAGTTTGAAAGTTTAGAGATAAGAATTCGATTGAATATTCCATTGTATTCGTAAAACGTTTCGAATAAACAATTCATTATCATGTATTATGATATTTTTCTACGTTTAAATCTGAGATTTTGGAAGGCAATAAGTAAAAATAATGGGTAAGATAGGGTACAACTCGAAAGGTAAAAAGTTTTAGAAAATTTTGAATTTTGTCAGAAAACAATTTCAATGTTATGTAAAATCAATGGTTTATTAATTGGTAGCCACTGACTCGTCCTCAATGATGAGGGCTTCAGCAATTATAAGCAGACATACTTCAGTAATGCGCGCAAGGTAATGGCAGTTATAACAGCAATGAGCTGAGCATTAAGCTCACTCGTTATCCCGCCCAAAGCTCCGTCGTTCGGATGGTCGCGCCATTTGGTTTCACAAATGCGCTTCCAAAGTTCGCCAGTAACATCAGCGGCAAAGAGCTTTTACCAGCAGTTACTACGCCAATGGTGAAAAGTGGACTAATCTATGACTGGGTGCTATGCGGGTGGCAGTTGAGGGCCAGCATATGTGCTACATATAACGAGCCATGATAAAGAATAAAGTTATTGTTAAATTCCACACTTTGTTAACCGGATAAGAAATTTATTGATGAGAGAATCTGGGAAAATTAATACTGAAATTATTAATTAATACTGAAATTATTCGAATTGAATTATAATAATTCGATTAATACTAAAATTATTCAAATTTATTTCGACAAGTTAATTCTTGCCCATAAATAAGCATGTTTTTCTATATAATTGGTGAAATTTCGAATATACCAAAGTATATTATAATATCTCTATAAATACGAGTGTCTAAAAAGTATGTTAAAGTTCATAGTATATCTATATAACAAAGCTAATTTTGAAATTCAACTTCATAATATCCAACAAGAAATTTGTTAATCAAAAAATAATTACTCGTGGAATCTGAGCTGGAGAAAAACTGAATCTTTCGCCAATATTCTCTTCAATCGGATTGTCGCGAAGAAAAGCCATTTAAAGACGTCTTTTGACTGCTTAGAGTCACCACAAATAGCTGAGTCGGCAGAACTGTAGCCTTCCGGCAAGTATCGGTTTGAGTCTCAAACGCTTCTTTATCAGTTGGGTGTTACGATGAGAGGCTTTCTCGAGCAAAGCGCCTTACTCAATGGCCTTTTCTGAATCCTTTGTCGCGTACTGTATCCTTCGTATCAAGGATACTGTCCCCGTGAAAGTCATTTGTGAATCACAACAGACTAAGGATTAAGGGGAATTTCTGCTAAAGGAGGTCGCACTTTCGAAATTAGAAAAAAAAGAACGTACTTAAATGCTGCAGAAAATAGGTATAGATTATTTCTTCTCGGCTTATTCGGAGAAAAAGTTATGAAAATGCCAAATCCACCTATTTATTTAATGCAACTATTTCAGTGCCTTCATTCATGGCATCCATAAATAGGGTTTATAATGGTCAGTAGGAACTAAATGACATTAGGTCGTCGCATTGCTCGAGCGTTGCAAGGAAAAAACAAGTTAGAATTAATTTTTATAGCACTAATTTTTCCCTGCAAAAATCTTACTTTATATTTTCGCAATTTTCAGAGATTTGATGAGAGACTTCACTGATGCCGTTTATCGAATACTTGCATTCTGGATTATATTTTTTGGAATTTGAGCACTGTTTTTTCGATTATCTGGTGACTGAAACATCTACTTCGCTCAGGTGTCGGATGAAATCAATGAAAAATACAAGTGAAAAGTGACACGAGGACGTCACACTGTCGTTCATATGAAAATGTGAACGTTTTACCGTTGCTGCACAAGTGATGCGGAGATGTAAGCCGCAGCCCAGGCGTAACTGAACGCATCACCGTAGCAGTTGCTGCAACTGCGCAGCTCAATATACATGTATTACCGTAACAGTAACTGAACACCGTAACAGTAACTGAACGTGTAACCGTAACAGTAACTGAAAATATAACCGTATTACCGTAACAGTTACTGAACTTATAACCGTAACAGTAACTGAAAATGTAACCGTATTACCTGAACAGTAACTGAACGTGTAACCGTATTACCGTAACAGTAACTGAACGTGCAACCGTATTACCGTAACAGTAATTGAAAGTTTAACAATGGCAGCTGCAACTGCGTAACTGAACGTGTAACAGTGGCAGCTGCCACTGCGTAACTGAACGTGTAACCGTATTACCGTAACAGTAACTGAACGTGCAACAGTGGCAGCTGCCACTGCGTAACTGAACGTGTAACAGTGGCTGCTGCCACTGCGTAACTGAACGTGTAACAGTAGCTGCTGCCACTGCGTAACTGAACGTGCAACAGTGGCAGCTGCCACTGCGTAACTGAACGTGTAACAGTGGCTGCAGCCACTGCGTAACTGAACGTGTAACAGTGGCTGCTGCCACTGCGTAACTGAACGTGTAACAGTGGCTGCAGCCACTGCGTAACTGAACGTGTAACAGTGGCAGCTGCCACTGCGTAACTGAACGTGTAACAGTGGCTGCTGCCACTGCGTAACTGAACGTGTAACAGTAGCTGCTGCCACGAAGGGAGCAAATAGTAGTTCGTTTTAATGAGGCGAACCCGGACGCGGAGCTTGTAGCCTATGCGTCAGTGTAATTGGGACGAAGAACATAGACAAGAAGAAATTCTGCAGGCTACGTATTGGGTTCCAACAACTCGCTGTTTCTAAAACAACAAAGCCTCTGCCATCAAACTACGCTACGAGTTTCCGCGCCGAAATACGAGCTTCGATTTCAACACAGGCTTCCTAAAATATGCGAAATCGGACTTTCGAAAATGGTGATTTCGATCGCGAGTTTCACTATGATCTAGAAATCCTACTGTAATTTATTAATTTACTATTATTGAAATTTCAGAATTTTATAGTGAAATTCATATACATGTATGTGCTCGCGTCAACATGTAATGTCAAAGCCACAATTTCTCTTAGGTATGGTCTTACGCGACCATTAGAAATGTTTTTAATATTTAGTATGCAATAAATGCACAATCAAAAGGGAAATGATTGCAAAATGGATATTTGTAATTGAAGATGAATCCAACAAAACCGGGGATTATACATGTTCAAACCCATTGTGAGAACTGGGTTAATTGATGGGCTGAACTAGGTTTATTTATGCACTATAGGATTGCATCGTTATACCTGTTGTTAGAAACTTGTCAGCAAAGTTTCGATTTCGCGACTGTTACTGGCTAGAATTTGAGTTCATGGAGATACCTAAGTTCAGTGATTTAGATTTATTTCTTCAGTGTTAAATCAATTTGAAAATATTTAGTGACTGATTAAAAGAGTAGAGAGAGATCAAGATAGACATAGAGTGGTGTTAGAAGCTTATTTAAATCTCATAGAACTAGTAACCATGCAAGTTGGGCAATGAGGGAATGATATCATCAAGTTTAATTATTAGAAAAATTAAAATGTATTAGTGAAAATGCAGGAAGAAATCATTGATTACTCCAACAGCCCTCATTTAAAATTGAAAAAGACAGTGCAGACGCAGTAAAATGCAAGGAACAATACTCACAACTGAGTATTGAACTCTGGGCAGTAAAAAGTATGAGTTAGTTCACCTACATATACATTACTTGAATCGATGTATGTATTGGTTTATCTAATATATCTGATTTAAACTTAAAATTGACTATTTTATAATAAATTATCACTAGTTCCGAAGAGTCATAATTAAAAAGCAGCTAGTGATATGAATATCAGTAAGTTCATGTGAGCTGACACTTACGCAATAGCGTGGTATTTTTTACTTACATCAGTGGATCCTATCCAGGTTAAACTTTACCATAAGAATATTAAAGCAATATATTTCATTTTATGATAGATAAAACCTATGTAGTCATTCTTCAAATAAACAACGCATAATTATGTACATTTAAAATGCAGCTCATAACAACAGAATAATATTCGTGAAAGAACATAAATAAGCATCCTACAAATTTAAAAACGCATATTTAGAGAGCAAATATGAACCCAGTCCTAATACTTCATAGTAATACTTCATATAACATACGTCATATGTGATATTTGGCGAATATACGCCATATATGGCTTGGAGAAAATAGGCTGTTTCAGAGATTAGCCAATGGATTTTGCTAAATTAAAATTATTAATCGAAAAAACTACTAATTTACTCAATAAAATTATGTTGAAAGGCTGGAACCATGTAACAATTCTCATGATTTTTCAACATCCTTAATATTTGATTCACCTCTACGAGTTGACATGTTGATTCTCAGCCTATTACCTTGTAATTAAACTTTAAAAAAATCAAGGAATGCGAGTACCTTAAAGTTAAGGTTAATAGTAAGTAGTTCATGTAAAGTTCATAGTCAGTAGTTCAAATCAAAACAAGTTCATGTCGCGATTTGACAGCATTAAAAGTTCAGTGATATTCATAAACCAAAAACGATATTCTAATTCTGTATTTTTTTCAGCAGTGTGTTTTCGAGCCAAATAATATTCAAGGAGTAGGAAGGAGAAAGACATAATTTTCTCGCCACTTGAGTCGGCGAGATTTGTGAGCAAGGAAACCGCATTAGTGTTGGTTAAGTCAGGGTTGGGTTAAGAAGAAATCGATGAGTTTGCTTTTATTTTAATCTAAACCTGCAAAATGAACGCTCTTCCGCTGCTCGTCGTGGGGGCAACGCTGCTGATCTTCTCAACAACAGGTCAGATTTTAAATAAATTTAAGGCATTGATGTGTTTAAATTCAGATTGTGTTACTGCTATGTGTTTTTATGGCATTGTTATGCGATTTCACTTCAGCATGATGAAATATTTTCCCCCCAATTAGCATAATTAGCAGACGTATTTGAATTAAAATTAATTAATTGTAATCATATGTAATCATCGAGTTTTTTTTCGTGTCATGTAAACCACTCGGTTGGGTAGTTGAAGAAAAATTTCTAGTAAGATCGCAATTTTTCATAATAAAAGCTACGATTTCTAGGAATAATAGTGAATTCGTTAATATTTATCGCTGTGAAGCAAGTCTACAATTGAGCCTGCAAACTTATAGCCTTTGTACCTTGGAAAACTTCGTCAATTTTTACGCTAATGTTCGAGAAGTGAACTTGAAACGAACACGCTCGCATGCTTGGCATTTGTACCCCATAAAGTTGGAAATATTTTGTGCTTATGTCTAACTTTTCTGTAGTAATGAGAACGTGTATGACATGCGATGAGAATCTCTGTGCATTTCGGTTTCATTAGAACTTTGAGCGAGAACCAAGCGCGGTATTATGGCTAGGAGGGCAAGCACGGTATTATGGCTGGAATGTCAAGCTCGGTTTTATGGCTGGGATGTCAAGCGCGGTATTATGGCTGGGACATCAAGCACGGTTTTATGGCTGGGATGTCAAGCACGGTATTATGGCTGGGATGTCAAGCACGGTATTATGACTGGGACATCAAGCACGGTATTATGGCTGGCACATCAAGCACGGTATTATGGCTGGGATGTCAAGCACGGTATTATGACTGGGACATCAAGCACGGTATTATGGCTGGGACATCAAGCACGGTATTATGGCTGGGATGTCAAGCACGGTATTATGGCTGGGATGTCAAGCACGGTATTATGACTGGGACATCAAGCACGGTATTATGGCTGGGATGATAAGCACGGTATTATGGCTGGCACATCAAGCACGGTATTATGGCTGGGATGTCAAGCTCGGTATTATGGCTGGGATGTCAAGCACGGTACTATGGCTGGCACATCAAGCTCGGTATTATGGCTGGGACATCAAGCACGGTATTATGGCTGGCACATCAAGCTCGGTATTATGGCTGGGATGTCAAGCACGGTATTATGGCTGGCACATCAAGCAAGGTTTTATGGCTGGGATGTTAAGCATGGTATTATGGCTGGCACATCAAGCACGGTATTATGGCTGGGACATCAAGCACGGTATTATGGCTGGGTCATCAAGCACGGTATTATGGCTGGGACATCAAGCACGGTATTATAGCTGGGACATCAAACGCGGTATTATGGCTGGCACATCAAGCACGGTATTATGGCTGGGACATCAAGCGCGGTATTATGGCTGGGAAATTAAATAAGCCCCTCAGCCTGGGATGTCAATCACGATATTATGGCTGGGGCATCAAGCACGGTATTATGGCTGGGGCATCAATCACGATATTATGGTTGTGGTGTTAGATGGAATCCACACCACAGTAACATTTTGGAATGGAGAGAGAGAAAAAAAAAGAAAGACAGATAGAAATAAAAGAGAAAAGAGAAAGGGAAAAAAGACGGAGAGAGGTAAAAAGAGAAATAGAAAAAAAGAGAGAACAAGATGAAAAAGAAGAGACAGAGAGAGAGAGAGAGAGAGAGATAAGAGACAGAGAGAGATAAAAAGTGAAAGATAAAAGATAGAAAGAGAAAAAACAGAGACAGAGAAATAAGACAGAGATAAAAAAGAAAAAGAGAATAGATAGAGAAAGAAAACAAGAGACAGAGAAAAGGCAGAGAGAAAAAAACTAGAAAGAGAAGAATTTTTTCGTTTGTACAACTGTTATTTGCATAAGGGAAGTTATGACCGTACGCGTAGTCGAGACTACAATAGAAAAGGGACGAATTCATTAGAGAAGATAGAAGCCAATGTGACCAGATTTCTGGTTAATATGCATCAATTCATGGGGTTTCCAATCAAATAAATGTTCAAACAAGCTTGAATTTCTTAAAAATCACGTGGGAGCGATAAGGTGAGCCGTTTGAAAATCATTATACTACAAAATTATTTTAAAACTGAAGTCAGATGGTATCCTTGTGTTCAAACTTTGAGGTTGCTTTGTTGGTAAACAAATAAGAACATTTTTATAGAAACTACATTATGTCTAAATAATGTATGGTTACAAATTAGGTTTAAAATTGAAAAATTAAATAGACTAACCACAGAATGATTTATCTTCTGAATTTTGCGTTTTTGAGCAGCTTATTTAAATGCAGTTTAACGTATGTTAATTTCCATTGTGATTAGAATAATTTATGTAACAGCCGCAAATCTTCAGAAAATTATTTTAAATAGCTTATAGATGAATAAAAATACCTCAGCAGTGTAAAAAAACTTGTCATGAATAATACGAAATTTAAAATCAGATCAGATATCCTGGCGCATTGATTGCAAATTAAACGGTGTATAACTTTACTGCATCATGCTTTATAAATTCAGATTGTGTGAGTGTGAAGTCATTCTATCAGCTTATAACTATCACGTAGTTTGTAGCTCCGAGTGGTAGAAGATTCAGTAATTAATTCAGAGCTCATGCACCAACATACTAAATAAGTGTACAAAGATTTTTCTAACCTCTTTAACCAACGTTTTTAATGAATTATCCATTCGTTTAGGGAATATTTCTCTACAAATTAGGGACAGATACTTATTTATTTACAGATATTTGGAATATTTTGCAAGAATTTATCGTAAATATTAATTTTCCGTATTTTCCGCACATTTTACGCGCTTTCATACTTTTCAACGTACCTATATACTATTGTATTTTTTTTGAGATTCTTGCTTTTTTTTTTAAATTCTATACTCTAATTCGTTAAAAAGTATTGATAATTTTTTCCTTGTTTTGATGAACATAATTTTCACAATCCACTTATTTTTATTCTAGCACCGCTATTAAACCGTTTGCGGCGTACAATACTTACTCTCCCCTATTCAGTGTCAAAATGCTATAATGTCTGCGATTTCAACTATGAAAAATCAATTGAGAAACATCTACAGATTTTGGTCTGATAATATCGGTTTTCTCACGAAGTTAGTGCATGCACTCAGGAAAGAGTTTTGTTTAGTTTTCAGAGTAAAAACAGTAACAAAAAACGTAAACTGTTACGAAAAAATGGAACAGATTTTATGTTTTTTTTTTATTCTCTAACATATTTTGTTAAAAGTGAACGGGAAACGAGCTCGGAAAAATCATTGTGAATTCTCACTTGATGATTTTTTGCAGGTTTGTATGAAGCACTTGAAAATTCTTTTGGAGATATTCTTATTATTTCTGGTACTGAAAAAACAGCCTCAAATTACCGGGAAAATTTCTGTCCGTGTTTTTGAGACGCTCAAAATGATATTGGAAGAATGCTGCGGGTATTGGCATCTTCCGTAAAACGCTGACAAAATAAACGATAATGAAGGCTATCATGGGATCGATGAAAACGAATGAGGGGCCTAGATGGGTTCACTGAGACGCTTTGCGGTGGAAATTCTCTCTTAGAGATGACAACGAAAAAAGACGGTATAGTCAAATAGGAATCTATACGTGGACTTATAGAGAGGAGAGCAAGCTATCGTGCGATCATTTGCTTGATGGGCTCATTCAGCGAATGCGTTTGGATTTTCCTTAAAGTTTTCTGGTGTCTACTGAAAAGTTCCTCACTTCATAATTGAATTTTTCTTAATGTTTTCTCCGGTTCCTTGCGAAATTGCAAACTACAGCATTGAAATTTCTCCAATGTTTTCTCCTATCTATTTTGAAAATATTTTTTCATACTGAAGTTTTTTTCAAGCGCAACGTTTCCAGTTCAAGTTTTTTTTTCAAGCGCAACGTTTCCAGTTCGTTTTAGTATTTGTTTGCCATGACATTGAATTCGCACTTTTCACTTGAGTTTATTCAATTTGTAGAAACGTCTCAAACAAACGACAGTTGCAACTCTACTCATGCAAATCTTATATCACCTGATATATAGACTCTATCCTACGAAAAAGCAGTATGGATGTTTTACGACATTGGCTACCGGTAGACGATCTATAAGAAAGTTAGCGAATAGGCCATCGAGAGGCTACAAAAGGATTGAGTTCTCATTTGGTTCCGCTCGATCCGACCGAGAATATATTTTGAAAGTTCCGTGCATATGTTTTCTCGCTTTTAATTGGGTCCGATAAGCGAGAATTTTTTGCCTGAATTCCGTACTTAAAGTTTGCTGTTCACGCATTTTTTTTACTGAAATGTGAAATAAAAAGAAAGAAAATAGTACGGGATTGTCAGGACCAATAAAAATTTTGCAGCTTTTATTACAAAATATAAATATCAATGCCTTAATCATTCATCCTGCTACAAAGTTAAAGTGCTTCAATGATTAATTGCAATGTTCCTCACAACCACGCTATCAAAATCCCAAATACCGAACATTAATGTTGCTCGTAGCCTGCTAGCCGTCAGCAGCTATCTCGGCATTCCCCATTTCCTCCAAGGCAAGAGAAAGAGAAAGATGAACACTAAATGCCTCGGTATGCATTAAATTACAAAAGCCTTTAATTGCCTCATAACAAGGCTTGCTCCAAGCTTTACGATGCTTTCCGGACACAAGAAAAACTTGGGGAATGAACTCCATGAAGTCTTTATTGTACACTAAAATTACTCCAGAAATTGTCCAGAGTTTGAGAGATGCCAAAGAATGGCTGGATTAATTAATGCTCGCTCACAAGTGTTGACAGGAGTTATACATGACGAGGTTGTGTTCAACAGAATAACAAATGTCCACTGTGCCTGTTATGATTTTGGCGCAAAAATGCTACCCAAATAGCATGCATCAGGATTTCTTCACAAAAAAACGTTCCTCAACAAGCATGTGGTCAAGATTTTTTTCACTTGAAATGCTCCTGATCCCGCTGGCTTTCAATTTGTTTTCATGGAAAATGATTTTAGAACT